TAGTCAGTGCCACGTGACGCGAGTAAACGGTAGTGACGGCGATAATGAGGAACACCAAATGGCACAGGTAATTCGTACGATTGCTCGACGCATCATTCGATTTTAATGCTCGCTCATATTGGAAACGAGAAATTGATGAATTACAGTCGCCGTGAATAGTCGCTACGTCCATATTGGAGAATGCCGAATCGCGAACGATTCAGAAAAGTTCCTCGCGCCTTCCCTTGCGAGATCTCGCGACGTCGACATTCAAGTTTCGCGGAGGGCGTCGGAAATGTCACGAGGGATTAGTTAGTTAAAATGCTCGTCGCGCTTGAGGGAATTTTACCTGTAACACTGAACTTAAGGAGTTGGAAACTGGACAGAGCCAGTGGCGTCGCGAGGTATTTGATTAACAATTTCCCCGTGCCTTTCGTTTTAAAGAAGAAGACATGTGTGCATTCAGCAAGTATAATTTGAATCGTTTCAATGCCGAAAGTCCGCGACTGTTGCCCTTTTCAGTTTCGAAATCGCACTTTGAACAAATTATATAGAGGGTGTTCCATAATCAGCATTGCACCTCTCTCTCGTCGCACAAGTAGAGTGAATTGTATTGAAAAGCTTACTGTGCTTAGATATTTTCCAGTAGGTCATCACTCAAAAGTTTTTATATTTAATTAGCCAATCAGCGATGTGTGCTGTTGGATTTCTATCCCCTTTATGAATGTGGTTAAATGCGTAATTGTAAATCAAGTCAATTTTCTCAAGTCCATTGTAAGCTGAAGAGAAATATTCTAAAAAAGTCCACTGATGTTTTAAGATTCTCGCAATAATCAGCGAGAAATTAATTTATAAACATTTCGTGAATGTGCGTTAGCACGAAAGGACAGCTTAGCGTTATGCTTTCTTATGGTTGCTAGAAAGGAGCTCGAGCCATGCCTCGTGCAATCTCTCCTGCTGTGCTCCAGAAGGATTTTTGATATATTTGAAAGAGAAATCCATCTCTCTCTAGAGTACCAGTCGTGAGGATTCTAGAATCCTCTAGAATATATGCATATGTGTATATTGTAATGTATGTATATGACGTTGTATTGTTTAACGTTGTTTCTAAACACATTATTGCGATAAATATATCACTGCTGCCTTGAAATGATAAGATACCTGCCCGATAAACAGGGGATTCAGGTTCGATTCCTAGCCGAGATGATATTTTTCGCAAAAATAATAATTACGAATTTTCACGACTGGTCGGGCCCCCCGCCGTGACGCACATCCTCCCTTCTTACTTCTTACTTTCCTTCACTTCTTACTTGGCGAGGTATTAAGAGATCCTGTGAAATCCTGTATAAGCGAAAAATATTCTAAGGCTGCTCAAAGCGTTCATGGAATCATCTTTCATCTTTGTTGTTTGTCAAGTAAAAACAAGCGTTCCAAATGTAAGTCGGAATCTAAATTTAAAGAGACGTTTCGTTCGGGGGACGTTTTCGATCGAGTCCTTTTATCGCCTTAACTCGGATTTTTTTTTATTTGTTTATAATTATCCAGCTTTGCACTATTCGCCTTCGCAGTTTCGTAAATCGTACACGTGTTTTGCCGGTACCAGGATTCGTGAGAGTTCCGCGCTTCTTCCGCGAGCGTCCTTCGCGGGAAGCTTCGCAAAAAGCCTTTTACTTGCAAAGGGAAATCCTCGAGTCCCGACGTGAGTTTCGATGTGCGTTCGACTTTCTAGCGCGAGTTTCACGCCCACGCGCGCGAAGATGCGCACCAAAAGTCGTAAAAGTCGCTCGATCATCGTGGAATATTAGATCATCGAAGTGGTTAGATCATCAGGTTTCGCGTATATTGAACCGCTCACGTCCGCCTTTGCATTTTACCATACGAGGATATTGAAAGAAGAAAAAAAAGTATAGTTCCCTTTCATCCAAATGCTATAATTGGTATAATATTGATCATGACGGTCATAAAAAACTGTTGAGATTAAGCAGTATCGATGGCTATCGCATCGTGATGAAGGAAATTGATCTTTCAACCGCGGCAACGTTAAATTTCTCTTTTCATATATCGCCAACAGGTAAATAAAAACGTGCTGCAATTACGATGTATCGTCTAAAATATTTCTGTATGGATTAGCATAACATGCGAGTAGAAGAGAAAGTCTCAGTTAATCGTTTATTACGAAATACTTGACTTTAACCGATTGTAAAATTTAATATGATTATAAAAACGAACGATATTTATTTTGAGATTCGATGTAATCTGTCCGGTATGGTCAAAGTGAACGGCCGAATGATCCAGATTCAAATATCAACTGAAATGAAAGACATGCGACAACACACACATACACATATACACACATGTCGATATCTTTTGAACGCTGTTATTTTTTTTTATTGCATTGATTTTTAGATGCGTTGGGCCTTCGCAGAAAAAAAAACTAGTCTTAAAGACAAGACAAATATTTTCAAGCAAGAACATTGTAATCTTCTTAAAACTTTTAGTTTTGATTTGATTAAATTTGTATCGATGCAAGTATTACTTTTGCTCAAGACTAAAAACCTTCCATATGAATATTTTAATATTTTTGCTTATATATATAAGAATATACTTGCATCAATACAAATTCAATCCAATCAGTCTAAAGTCTAAAATTTTTCCAAAAAAGGATCGTAATATTCTCGCTTATACATGTGAAATATATATTCTCGATTTGAGACTAATTTTTTTCTACAGTATTTTTAATATACGGTATTAATTTTTAATAAAATAAAAGTTAGGATAATTCTGCGGTAAATCAACAGGAAGACATTGCTTGCAGTCGGGACTTTGGGCGCTGCCTACGTCACAATTTTGGAACTCGAAGCGAACGTCCGTAACGTCGAGCGTGTACGTCGAGCGCCGGCACCGAAGCAGATCGGTGAAAGCACATGGGGGTTACCACGCGTGTCGCGAGTTTCAAGTCGGCGGATTTTGCAACGCGCAACCGATCCATGTGTCGAGATGGAAACCGCGGTTCCGCGGTTCGTGACGCCCGCGCCATAATCTTTTGGAAAATAACCGCGCGCAATCTTTTGTCACGTGGAAAAATAATTTCGTGCTTGCCGCAATTTAATTAACATTTTAACGCGAGGATGGAAAGAGACTTTTCACTCGACAGGTGACGTTACGAGGCGGATCCTTGGAATGAGAAGAAATGTCGGTTAATTAACGGTTAGCTTCATTAACATGTATGTTTGCGTCATTAGAAGGATTGTTTGAAAGCGTCGGAGTTTAATATTTCAATGCTTTGACTATCGTGAGTCTCATCGGCGACTCTTAAATTCGTTCCATATGGACTACGAGACTCATTAGCTCGGGGGGGTCTCAGGGTTTTGCAAATTTTTGCAAATTTCAGAAATGCACATTTACTTGGAAACGTAATGTTACAATATTAAGAATTTTGAGGATCGGTTGTGAAAGGATTCGTTTGATCGAAAGCGTTTTATAGCTTCGAAGTAACATGCGATATTTACGTTCTGACGCAGAAAAGTTTAGAGAATGCTAGAATGCTAGAAAGAGCTAGCTTATTTTTTCGTCGTCTTGTTCCCCACGTAACTTCCTTGTAACGCAGCCAGGGTGTTATTGTACATCGTGTTTTGTCACTCGCATTTACCCGCGGGATTAATTGTGCGTAGAGAGCGCGCGCCTCAGGAAGATCCTAGAAAGTGTTCGAATTGATAAAAAGCCGCACTTTCTACATGTCTATATTGTGCTATCGTGTCTTTTTCGATTCG